ATTTTGGGGTTGGGAAGTTAGAAGTATTTGTTCAATTTACTATATGATTAAATTGCTAACAGTATTGAAATACTATTATTACACACAACCCAATTGTATATCCTGAGCTAAAAATTTATAATAAAGAAACTTTTCTAGTAACTTCGTAAAATATTTAAAAGCTTAAAAACAAACAGACTAAATATTAAAAATCTATATTTGAATAATTTCAAATTACTATTACTGTGATTAGCATTAACACTTCACACAGGAATCTAGGAATCAGAGTCTATGCGAACTTTACAAATTATACTAGCCAATTTTATTGGTATTTCTCATAATCAATTTTAATGTTCAAGACCACCTTCGAATTCTACTAGTCTATATATAGCTTCGAATATTGAAAACAAACAGATCATTATCAAGATAATTTTATTTAAAATCCAAAAAAATTTAGATAAAAAAAATTTTAGGAATTGAAATATAACAAGAAATCTTTATATAACGAGAGATTATCTAAGTGATTATAATACAGTAAAATAGATCTCGATAGATCACCAAGATCACCACTATCATTATCCTTTCATAGCATACTTTTTTAACTTTATACTGTATAAATTTTACAAAATTTAGTTTAGTTATCTTCTAACCTAATATAAATCAAATTATCAAATTAATTTTTAATTAAAAGAAAATAGTAATTCATTTTAGAGGCATACATATGTGGCTTTACAATAATAAATATCAATTTAGCAAAAAAAACAAAAGCCTATAATCAGATGTAATAATAGTATAAACATCAATTCATTATGGCATATATTTACAAACTTCATGTTTAGTGTATTTAGTATAGTTTGCAATAAACTATATATATGTCGTAAAATTAGCCCTTTTAAAAAATATTAAAAGTTCACCATTTCTAAGACTTCTTCTTAATTCTTTGCCTCCAGTCACCTTTAATAGGTTCAAAATTAGGATTGCTAGCAGCTTCACCAGATTCAATTTGTTCTTTAATCCAAGCTTCAGGATTAATGGAAGAAGATCCATGTTGCTGTCGTGTTACCTCTTCCCAATCAGTATTTGCAAGGAAATCTTCTGCAGCTTTCCACTTCTCAACAAGTGTCGCCTAGATGTATTAATATTTATTTAACCTCATAGTAACACATAGATATTATAAAGAAATATATATATACCATTTTTTTATTCTTAAAACCAGAATTTACAAGATCTTTCTCTTTCTTTCTTTTTTTTTCGTGTGAATGAGACACACCTGGTAAACTCGAAGTTTGAAAACGAGTGGGAGAACAAGATCCATCATCTGAGGATTCTGGTTTTGTATCAATAACTTCATTCCAATTTTCAACTTGGGGTAATGGGGGTGGAGGTGGTAAAGGTGGAAGCGGTGGAGTAATTTGTGATTGAAATAACGATTGTGAAAATGAATTATTTGACGTTTTTGGAATGCTTGTAGGTTGCAAAGCAGTAGTACTATGGTGCGATGATTGTATTAGAGTAGCTATGGGTGAAGAATCTGATGCTGATGTAGAACATTCTTGCTTATTTACAGACAAAGAATGAGTGTTAAGATTTGTAACCAAATCAGAACTTGGATATGTGAGAGAAACTTGATTCTGACAAAAATTATAATATAAAGTGTTACAAAAATTATAAAGGACATGAACATAAATAATATACACAAATTCATACCGACTGAATGTGCATCCAAGTGTATGTTTTTGAATCAGATTTCCATTTGCATAACCAGCCAGTAGGTGATATCTGCTCTGTTGTATTCAATTTTATAATATATCAATATAATCTACAAATTTTGTTATATTAAGATATAAACATACCTTCAATACTTCGTATTAGCATCTCCAATCCTTCTAAAATAACTTTTTCAAAATAATATGAATTCAACGCACCAATTTGCCAATCATGTAGTCTGGTGGCGAATTCAATTTGATGCCTTTCAAGCCTCAAGTGTGTTGCCATAGGAGTAATGATGGATAAACGGTCGTAAGCATCTCTTGAGCGAATATGCAATGGTGAGTCAGATGAAGGAGGGCGCATGGATGTAGTATTGTTGGTGTCATCAGTGGTATTACTATAAATTATTTGATTTAATTGAGTATCAACTTCTCGATTGGAGTCTTCTTTAGATGACGAATCCAAATTATTTGTTTTTTCATCCGAACGTGACATTAATGAAGCTCCTGAAACATTAGTTTGTGTGTCAAGGTCCCAACATGTTTCACCGGTTCTACTATTGTAATAATAGTACCGTTTTTCTTCTTGATGAAAATGTCGTTGCCAATCGCCTTCAGTATACGTGAATAGCGAACCAACTTGATTCTTTTCCGTTGGTACGATATTTTTAAAGGATTTTTCACTGGTTTTTTCCAAAGTAGAATTATTATCGATAGAAGTAATAGGTAAAGCATTTATTTCGGACAAAAAGTTTTTTAATGCTGCTTCGATGCTCTCCTCAGACTGATCCATCTCGGTCGAATGTTCAGAATTAATCAGAGAAGTTGTTGGCAAATGAGAATCTGATATTTGTTCCTGAATTTCCGATTTATTATTTGAAGAGTTGAAAGAATCGGGTTGCGATTGCTCCTTTGATGGATTCTCTTTTTTAAAAATATTAATTTAGTCACTCCCTGTTCACAAATATTGAAAGAAAAACTATACACCGACCACCTCGCAGTTTTTGTCTATCGCAAACTATGCATCATTGCCTTTGTTAATAATATAGGTACTATATAACACTCGCAAGAGCTGCTTCGCCTACCGATCTGTGCCTCTTCTTCATCTCCTTCATCATCGCTTTCACTATAGTCTCCGAGGAGCTCCTGCAGCACGTTCTTCGATTCTTGGCGTTTTTTAGCTTCATCGGTAGCTGAAAAATAGTGACACTAAAAGTTAATTAAAATTATTAAAACAATAACAACTTGTATATAGAAAATATGAAACCTTTGTTTTTAGCTCTTATTGATGATATTGGTTGATCTAACTGAAGCATTGGCCGTCTTCTTGAAATGTCTCGTCGGTCCATGGTGCAAGGAACATGAATTTCGACTGCGGGCTAAGCAACCAATCTTCCCATATACTATATAAAATGAAAATTTTAAGTCCAGTTCAGATTTGAAACGTATCGTTTGAAACTTGGACGTTTTTATACCCGATTCAATAATTCTGACAGACATACGAGCACATTGTTTTTGATTCTCATACAAACTTACTGCATAAATTTGATTACTTTTTTGATGCACAAATCATAATAATAACAGAACTATATGATGTTTAGAATTAGATTAGGGATGCGAGATATCGGGACGATCCCAGAGAAAAGTTTAACTTACCAAAACTTGAGTTAAAACCTCGATTAATAAGTGCCCTCACAATTACTGCTCGTTGAAGACCTTTACCCACCTGATAGCATTAGATAGTAAAACGAAAACGCAAGAGAGCTTTATCTTGCGCTAGAAAATGTATATTTCTAACTCTAACAAGGGATTTTATATATAGATGCTAAAATGCGAACTATGTTACACATGTAATACATCATGCCATCTTTGGAAAATTCACAATATATTCTCGCGAACACGATCAAGATCTTGAATGAGAAAGATATTATGACAAGAAAATTTTGTTAGTACCTCCCTGTAATTAAGCTCTTGTTTCATGTTCGAATACATAGTCACTCTTGATATAATCACAATCTTGTTATAGTCACTCTATTTTTTAATCCCCTATAAAATTTAAAATTTCGAGGTAGGAACGTCCCGAGTGCCCCGATTTTGTAAATCGTTACACGATACTTTTTTCGGAGATTATCTGTGAACCCAGTCAAGTGTACTAACAGTCACACGATTTGTCACATCCAAAATTTTATCATGATTTTCATAAATTACACAAATTGACGAATTTACATTTTTTAAATTTTCTCCCCTTAGCCGCAGCACATAATGTTCTTTAAGCAAACTTTGTTGCTGAAGTTTTCACGAATCAGAAAGTATAAAAAATATTAATAACTAGCTTGCCCTTGTAAAGTAATATAGCTTCAAAACCGTGCTATTTTTTTGTCTTCTCTTGCGTGATTCTTCAGTTTACAAATACCTGCTATAAAAAGTAGATCACTAGATATATCAAGTTGAAAGCTTTTGCCAAAATGCATGTGCAAAGAGTCAGTGTATTATGAACATAACAAAGAAAATTGGGGAAAACTGTTTTATAAATAGGTAAATTATATTAATTTAACAGTTTTTTTTTTTATAAATTATTTTTGTTTAAAAAAAAGTTTTATTTTTATATATATAACTTGTTAATTTTATTATTAATATTAAATTATTTAATATAATTTCTTTAATTATCTAAATTTATGACTACAATTTTGTTTTTTTGCTTCTATATAATGGTTATATCATTGATCTCGAATTTGTTTGGAATTTTATAATTTTTTTTTTTTAATTCAAATTGTAAACTTCAATCTAATAAAACATAATTATAAGCTTTAATGTTATTTTATAATTAATGATCAATTGTACAATATAGATCACTTATTTAAACATTATAACTAGCTGACAAAATTCAAACAAATTTCAATTCTTAAAAAGCAATATTTTTGCAGATAGCTATATATGAATATATACTATTAACCTACTGCATACAATATTCAGAGTCTATTCAAGCATTTCACTTTTAAAATTAAATAGTACTCATAGTATTGTGAAGAACTAGATACTATTCTTGAAAATATATTATATTAAAAGTAGTAAATCAATATAATTATATCCCAGAGTCTTATTCAAAAAACAGGCTGGTAGAAAATATTGTATGCAGTGGTCAACAGTATTATTTGTTTAAATAAAGATTATTAATAAAGCTTTTAAGATATGTATTAATTTAGTCAGATTTGAAATTTGGAAATGAAAAACCTACATTATAATAGTTCTAAATTTGAAAAATAATTATAATTATACTTTCTAAGCATAAATTACATACCTTCTTATGAGTTATACTTGAAAGCTGTAATTCTTTTTAACGTTTCTTAAAGTTCATAATCTTGGGCAAGTAAGCAAGGTTTTATTTAAAAAGCTTTAAAGCAAGAAAGTTCTGTTGTATTGCAAGTACTATATACTGTATATATATACAAAAATAGAACAAAAGGCTATTTATAAAGCTGTAATTCTTCTTAGCTTTATTATTGTTTCTAGTTAAAACTACAAATTCACAAAGAATTTGTATAGTTAAGCCATTATACCTAGTCTTATCAGTGCAGTTTTTTTTAAAAAAACTCCTAAAAATAGTTTTTAAAAAAGGTCTACTATTGCAATTTACTATTAAAAATAGGCCTATCATATAGATATTAATCATCCAAAATTCATATTAAAAATTTTGCTCTTCTGATCTGTGTAACAAATTGTATGACTGCTAAATAAACTTGAAGTTTTCGTGATAATAATTTTAGTTGAATCTCTCGACCTTCATATCACAATTACCTATCAAAGTAAATAAAAATATAAAAAAAAGCTTAAAATAATATTAATAATATTAGTATAGAAGAAAGAAATTAGTTTGTATAATGTTTATTAACTATCAGCTATGCGATTTATTAATATATATATATGAGGGTGTGGTGACTTAGTGAAGTTGGTAAGTTGTCGCACTCCCAAGCGGCAGGACAAGAGTTCGAATCCCACTGGCGACGAAATTCGAATTTTATAGAATGTGTTATGGCAGACTGTGTGTAATCTGATGAATTAGCATCTGTAACCTTGGTCGTACCAGCTAGTACTGGGAGGATGCGGAATAGTAGTGTAATATAAAAGTTACACAAAACCTAAGTGATATATCTGGGTAAATCCAGAGGATCAGGCATACAGAAGCCTGCTTAGCAAGTCCTGAATAGAGAGATAGCACAGATCTTTGATGGTACTACGTAAAGGAAGATCATTAGCAATCAGACCCGATAGCCAACTGAACGAGAACCAGGTGTTTGGCAAGGCACCACACCAACCAGGCCATGTGTATACGGGGAAAAGGATTCATCGGAATACCAGGGGACGCAAGTTCTTTCTGGGCCATCTGAATTAGAAGTTTGAGGATGCTGTTGGTGTACTAGGAAAGTTGGTGGTAGTACGTAAAGTGGGTGCTGAGGTCTGGGTGAACTTCATAAGGGCAAGAGTAGATAATAGTAGTGGCTTCGGCTCGCAAGTACTTGTTCTCACACTCGTCATAAGTTATCAAAAGTCTAGGTTAGCCGGATTGTGGGTATAAAAAGCTCTAGCAATGATGCCTCAAGGATAAATTAGTCCTAAAGCTGCAGTAAGCATCTGGAACTTCTTGACTGACAAATGTAGCAGAGATGTTCCGGTGACACAAGGGGGATGTATACGTTACAGAGGGTTTAAATAGGTAATCCCTTAGTTGGGTTATAGGTATGGCAGCTAGTGTAGAATCTATGGTATAATACTATATACAGACTACTTAAATAGACGCTCAAAAGGTGCACGTGTGGCTAGTTGTACTCTCTAATGTAATTGGGGTTCTGCTGTAAGCTCTCCGTCTAAAATACTTGAATAAAAATCTCAAAGCCAAAGAGGCTAGTTAATTAAAAAAAAATATATATATATACATATATACAGTACTATTATTACAGGTGCTTTTATTCCTTAAACTATCCAGCGAGCAAATTTGCCTGCTAAAATTTTTTTTAACAAGTTTTTTTAAAATTACTAAAAATTTTATTAAGGATATGTATCTCTATTATTAAGCTAAAATAAAAATTTGTCATATTGTTAATTGATATCTATTAAAATTTTAATTATATATATATTTATAAATAAAAGAAAATTTTGTCTAAATATAGGCAATTCTTTAATTTTACTATAAAATTTTTTTAAAAATTTTTAAAAGTTTTCAAATTTTTAT